AATTGCACCTTTTGGGAAAAGTCACCAGACTAACACAGACCCAGACCGATTGGCAGTCTGGATAGTCTCCCCGGGAGGGGGAAGATATGTGACAATCTCCCCATCCCACGTGATTTTGTCATGAGCTCCTGGAGGGGCCTGCTTGCCAGCTTCCTGCCTACAGACTATAGGCCCTGCAGGGGAACCTGTAAGAGACTTTAACTGGCTTGGTTCGTGCCCTTGCTCTATTCTGTTCGGGAACCGATCAGGCGCACGAACCATGGACCACCCGGGAGCTTGTTACTTGGACTTCCAGCATCGCCTGCGTTCACTTCTACACCACTTAGAAGGGCACTGTTTGGCGGAAACGTTCCCATGAAAACAAGGTGAACAAGCTCCAGGGTAAGACTATTGACTATGTTCGGTAGTGTTTGGTTTTTAAACTACCGAACTAGACCGAACGCAAGCCATGATTTCATGGAACTGTTTTGGGCATAGGACCATGTGCATGGTCGGTCAAATAAATGACTTCCATGAAAGTCCCAAACCCCTGAACTGATCTGATCTGATCCCTTTAGAAGCTGATTGAAAGCCTTCAGAAATGGCATCAGAAATCAATTTTTTCGATGCTGTTTGGGGTGAGCTTCTTTAGATTGTCTCTCCGCTACTTCTTCCATACATTGGAAGCATGGGTACTTCCCTTCTGCGGTTTTCGAACTGCATCCCTGGCTGCGATTGGTTTTCTGTTTCTAGAAAAAACAAAGTGTTAACTATTAGTGCTATATATTAGACAGAATGCCCAAGGTTCTTAAAGTGTTCCCTTACAAACACTCCAGATACAATAGTAAAAAAGAAGAAAAAAACCAAAGGAAAAAACTGTGTTATCCACCACAAAGTAATAATAATAAAAATTATACAAACTGAATAACGTAGGTGTATGTTGCCTTAGATGTATATCTATAGGGAACAATATAAAAAATATAGTGTAATACCATTAACACATATACAGGGTGGGGGTGGTAGAGAACTCACAAGATTGAGATGAATTCAGGCATATCTCCCTTAATTCTAGGGAACTAGTAAAGTATGAAGGACCTCCAGCGATGCAATGCTGGATAAAAAGTGACAAAATCTTCTTGTCCACTCAAAATAGAAGGAAAAAATAGATAGTGCAGATTGTAAAAAATATAACAATTTATTATATATATTGCACTCAAAATGTATCAAAGTAAAGACAGCATGTCTACACACCAGGGTGGTATCCATGCTGTCCAGGCAACTTCCTGCCATGATTTTACTGGCTGACATATGTGGATACCACCCTGGTGTGGAGACATGCTGTCTTTACTTTGATACATTGTGAGTGCAATATATATAATAAATTGTTATATTTTTTACAATCTGCACTATCTATTTTTTCCTTCTATTTTGAGTGGACAAGAAGATTTTGTCACTTTTTACCTCAAGAACATATCTTTCAAGATGGAGTCGATAGCTTCCATAAAACAGGCTATCCATCAAGGCGACTAGCTAACATCGATAGATGAGATTTTGGTTATTGGGGAAGCAATATCAGTTCCAGGGCATGACATTTGGTCTGAGTTTGGCACCAAGAACATTTTCGAAAATCCTCATTACGGTTATTGCTATCCCGAGGAAGAGAGGGATCCAAGTCTTCCACTACTTGGACGATATCCTGGTAATAACACAGGAATACCACACAGCAGTCCATCAGATAGAGGAGATGATTTCTACTCTGCAGAATTTCTGTTGGCTTATAAACAGAAACAAGAGCAACCTTATCCCATCCAGAAACATTGTGTTTCTAGGAGCAAGCATAAATACAGAAGCTTCAACAATTTCTCTATCCCATGATCGTGTTACTCGGATCAAGAACAAAATATCAGAATTACTTCTAAGAACAAGAGTCCAAACACAAAAGTATATGAGTGTACTAGGATCTCTCACGTAAATTATAGGTCTGGTCAGATGGGCACATTGGAAAACAAGACAGGCCCAGATGCACTTCCCCATACAGATCAACAAATCAGTGATGAACTGGGATCAATGGATAATAATTCCCCAAAACCTAAAACTACAATTGCGATTGGGGATAAAAGTAGTTCAATTTGATCAAGGGCTTTCCTCTAGAACAGTGGTTCCCAACCTTTTTTCACTTGAGTACCCCTTGGCAGCCCATTTCCATAAATTGTACCCCTCATATTTCATGTTTGAAATAATAGCAACTATATTAATAACAAATGTAGACGTTTTCTCTGCCCCAGGCTGCACTACTCCTCCTCTGCTTCAGGATCTCTCTGCTATTCCAGTGCCCCGGGCTCTCCCTTCTTCTCCTGCATCTCTCCCATTGCTCAAACCATACCACTGCATCAAATTGATCTGCATGGCTGTCGTCCCAGAAGGAAGCCTCTTCTAAAGATGATGAACAAGAAAGCTCACAAACAGTTTGCTGAAGACAAGCAAACTAAGGACATGGATTACTGGAACCATGTCCTGTGGTCTGATGAGACCAAGATAAACTTATTTGGTTCAGATGGTGTCAAGTGTGTGTGGCGGCAACCAGGTGAGGAGTACAAACACAAGTGTGTCTTGCCTACAGTCAAGCATGGTGGTGGGAGTGTCATGGTCTGGGCCTGCATGAGTGCTGCTGGCACTGGGAAACTACAGTTCATTGAGAGAACCATGAATGCCAACATGTACTGTGACATACTGAAGCAGAGCATAATCCCCTCTTTTCAGAGACTGGGCCGAAGGGCAGTATTCCAACATGATAACAACCCCAAACACACCTCCAAGACGACCACTGCCTTCCTAAAGAAGCTGAAGGTAAAGGTGATGGACTGGCCAAGCATATCTCCAGACCTAAACCCTATTGAGCATCTGTGGGGCATCCTCAAATGGAAGGTGGGGTAGCACAAGGTCTCCAACATCCACCAGCTCTGTGATGTCATCATGGAGGAGTGGAAGAGGATTCCAGTGGCAACCTTTGAAGCTATGGTGAACTCCATGCCCATGAGGGTTAAGGCAGTGCTGGTAAATAATGGTGGCCACACAAAATATTGACACTTTGGGGCCAATTTGGACATTTCCACTTAGGGGTGTACTCACTTTTGTTGCCAACGGTTTAGACATTAATGGCTGTGTGTTGAGTTATTTTGAGGGTACAGCAAATTTACACTGATATACAGGCTGTACACTTACTACTTTACAGCACATTATATGTACCAGCACATTATATTAAACAACACAATGGTGATGCCTCTCTTTTAAGTTTTATGGCGTTTTACAAGAAAGCTGTTCATTGGAGAGGGGGAGACAATTTGAAAGAATTATGTAAGATCAAATGGATTTTTGCTTTGGACACTATCCCCCAAAGTCCTTAATTTGGATTTCGAGTTGGTTCATTTTTTTTCTCCTCTGCTTTATGATAATGTGTAATATATATTTGTATAATTTTATTTTTTCTTGTATTTTGGAATAATGTTTTACAATTTATAGTAGATATATTTAATACATTTTATATGTAGTTTTTAATTTGTTGTGCCTTTTCATTGCCTTCCTTCCTTTAGTGGTTTTGAAACAATTGGTAAGCTTTTTATGGTAATACCGATGTATTAATTTTATGATCGTTTTTATATTCATGAACTGTTTATCTGAGCATTAATATTTGTGTTTTTCTTTTGGGTCCCTTTGTAATTATCATGTTTCTCTTATATAATAGTTTATGGATGTGCTTAATATATTGGTTGTTATATATGATTGGACTAGGTTACCATAGTCCAGATGGAGGACTTGACTAAATTTCAGAATTACATTCTCGACAGACCAGGTATGATGTGACGTGACTCACCCAACACAGCCAGATCAAATTTATTTGGATACCGAAGGGCAGCACTGAGGAAGGCTCTATTTGGGTCCGAAACACGTCTGCATGTAGAAGGAACTCTCAGTTGAGGACTTTTTTGCAGTGACATTTATTTTAACCTATGAGATTTTTGTGCACACTGCTTTTTGCTATTACCTTATAGTGCTCTGGTTCCTGTGGTTTTTTTATATTTGCTTTAATTATTATTTTTAATATGTTCTTGACACAGTAAAGTATATAAAAAAAAAAAAATACAAAAATTCTGGCTGCATTTTGCAATTCAGTGGTCCTGTTTTGGATGTACATCACAGCCTGTACAGGCACCTTTGGTGCTCTCTCCACATAGTTTGATACACCTCTGCCTTGGAGAGTTAGTCTTCTTATATATTTGGAGTTATTGGCAATACAGGAAGCACTATATTGGTTTGTCTTTATGGTTTTCAGATGTGACTACCATTCATTTTCTACTCCTGTTTCTAAGTATAGATTGTGTGTTCCCAGTGCGTGTAAATATTTTGTGTAACATTTTGTTCTATATTTACGGAATGACACTAACCTTTTAATGTGTCCAGATTAAGCGACTATATGAAAGATAAAACAAAAAGCTAAAGATGATGACATGAAGAGTAAAGGAGAGATACAGAAAGAAAATGAAAGGCACCAAGTATAGATTGTGAAATCATTATTAGATGGGAAGAAAGGTTTACCTGAAGATCTTCATAATCTTTCTACAGAAACTCTTACATTTTAAATCTAAGGATTGAATAACATGAATTGGGCGAGATGTGTTATGTGCTTGAGACTTACAATTTTATAACATGACCGGAGGCGAATATTTGCTTAAGTCTCTCTTTACTATAACTCCACAGCAGCACATTAACATAAGGTATCTATATAAAGCTCCTCCTAAGCCACCATTTCCTCTTTCTTTGCTGCTCCGCAGACAGTACAGGTCAGAGTACCACTGCCTCCTATTATTTTATGGATGGTTGTGTGTTTTACTGTATATAGCTTGTATTTGTTCTTGGGTATTGCATTACAGTTTTACTGTATTTCTTTTCTATTGTTTATGTACTTTTTACATTTCTTTAGGGGATATTTCTTTGCAGCTTTTCCCTTATTTCTGCTTTGCCTCTTATTCTCTTGAGTTTTGTTTTTCTGTGTGCTCGCGGTCGCCGAGAAACGGTCTTCCGACCGCCTCCCGTGCCGACCGCCGGGACCGCGGGGTAAGACTCCGGCGGTCCCTTGTGTTCCTGGTGTTGATTCGCGCCCGCCGGCTTCGTCCGCCAAGCAGGAATCCTCGCCTGGCTCCCTGCCCTACCCACGTTCCCGCTCGCCGGTTCGTTGTTTCACCCGAGCGGCGTGGAGGCAGAGCAGGGAGCTCTTCTCTCTTGCTGCGGGAGCCTCTGCTCCCGACCGCACTTTTCCCCGCGACCACGTGGTCGGACGCGGGGGTGCATGGCTCGTTCCTGGGTCTCTGCCTGTTTAAAGCGGCAGTGCCCATTTTTTCTCTTCTAGTTGGTGTACTTCTTCTGTTCCACCCCTCTGTTTGGGGGGACATCTCTGCAGTTTCTGCTTTAACCTGGCATGTGCTTGTTCACTTTTTTCTTCTGCCTGCAGTTTTTTCTCTGCTGTATGATAGATAGCTTTGCATATTTACTTTCTATGGACATTCATTTTGCATGCTACTGGACTGGTCCGTCCTTTTTCCGTCATACCAATCCAGAACCCCCTACGCTCAGAGGACGGATATAGGTCGCGGATACCGCGCCAGAGGATGGGCGAGATTTCCTGCAGGTGAGTGCACCTCCTACCACTTTCGTTCACCCTACTTTGCATGCGGGCAGACTGTTTCACTGCAGAGACAGGTGGCGGGAGGTGTCTTCAGATGTATGGGTCCTTTAGACGGTACGGGGTTATGTCATAGATTTCCATTCCCCTCCAACACAGGTTGGACCCCCAAGGGTCCCCATCATCGCAAGGGAACAGCAGTCCTTGATAGATACGGAAGTTCGGGCACTGTCCGCCAAAGGCGCTGTTCAAAGGGCCCCGGATTTGGGGGGTTTCTTCAGCTCGATTTTCCTAGTGAAGAAAAAGTCCGGGGAGTTCCGCCCAGTGATCAATTTACGAGAATTGAACACCTTCGTGGTCTACAACCACTTCAAGATGGAGGGCATTCATCTTCTGCGGGACCTTCTCCGGCCGGGAGACTGGTTCACGAGGCTGGACCTGAAGGACGCCTACCTCTCCGTCCCGGTGGATGAGGACTGTCGCAGATTCCTTCGCTTCCTATGGAAGGGCATTCCGTGCCAATTTACATGCCTCCCCTTCGGCCTCAGCTCGGCTCCTTGGTGCTTCACCAAGCTCCTGAAGCCAGTGGTCACCCGATTCAGGTCGGAGGGTGTTCGCTGTATAATATATCTGGATGACTTGCTGATCTTTTGCGAGGACCCCTCCAGGCTCAGATATCAGACTCGCTCTGCGATCTCCTTGTTGGAACACCTGGGGTTCGTGGTCAATCTGAAGAAATCGGCGTTGGAGCCTTCCCAGATGGTGGAATTCTTGGGTTTCGAGGTCGATGCAAAAGAATGCGTTCTTCGTCTGCCCTTGGCAAAGATAGCGACCATTCGGAAGGAGATAAGACGGATCTTACGGCAAGACCGGATTCCCCTTCAGATGTTGGCTCGCGTGGTGGGTCTCCTCTCGGCCTCGATACAGGCGATTTATCCGGGCCCACTACACTACAGGGCCATGCAACGGCTGAAGACTCATTTTCTGCGCAGGAGACCCTCTTACGATCAGATGATCTCCCTGTCTCCGGACGTGAAGACCGAACTGCGCTGGTGGCTCCTGCACATGTCCGCCTGGAACGGCAAGGCGATATTCGGACCAACCCCGGATTTTGTGCTGGAATCAGATGCGAGTCTGTGGGGCTGGGGTGCCACGTGCGCGACCGGGTTCACGGGGGGCCCGTGGTCGGACAAGGAATCGGAATTTCACATGAATTGCCTGGAATTGATTGCGGGTTCATTTGCGATTCAGAGTCTGGCCAACCACCTGTTGGACTGCTTCGGATGGACAATGTCTCAGCGGTGCAGTACATCAACTGCTTGGGGGGCGCTCGGTCTCGAGCACTATCGGAGGCGACGAAGGAGATATACAGTTTCTGTTTCCAACGCAACATCACCTTACAAGCGGAATATCTTCCGGGGGAGTCGAATCTGACGGCTGACTGGTTCTCCAGACATTGGAGGGATGCCAGCAACTGGAAACTCCTGCGACCCATCTTCCTCGAACTCGAGTATCAAAGGGGCCCGTTCACCTTGGATCTATTCGCCTCCAGGACGAATCACCAGACCCAGAGGTACTTCAGTTGGCTCCCGGATCCGGCGTGCACAGCGGTGGACGCTTTTCTCCAAGTGTGGCCTTCGCAGGGAGCTATGATTCCCAGGGTATTGCTACAAATTCGACGTCAGCCTGTGTCCTTGGTGTTGCTGACTCTGCTATGGCAGAGTCAAGCCTGGTTTCTGGAGCTCCTGGATCTCTCCTGTCGGGATCCTCTTCTTTTACCATCCTCTCGAATGCTCCTCTCGGACTCCGGGGGCAACCCTCATCCCCTAGTGGGAGACGGCCACCTGCTCCTGGTGGCCTGGACTCTTTCAGGGGTGCCTGGAATGTCGAGGCGTTATCGCAATCGGTTGAGACCTTCTCTGGGATTCCTGGGCTCCCTGGACGAGGAGGTGCTATCTCTCAGTATGGGGTTCCTGGTGTTGCGAACGAGATACCGATCCCTTTACAGGTCCTGTATCTAGCGTGCTGATTGGATGTCCGGGCCTTCGATGTCGACGCTTTCTCGTTTTCTCCAGAAGGGGTCTCCTTCAAGGTGGTTAGACGTACCAAGACGGATTCAGTGGTTGTATCATTACTTCAAGGATTCGCCTAAGCTTTGTGTAGCGAAGGCACTGGCTCGTTATGTAGCGGTTACCGCTCCTTTGCGCTCTTCTCATTCTGGACAGTTGTTGATTTCGTATGTCAGACCCCACAAGCCGGTCTAATCCGCTACCCTGGCTCGATGGATAAGATGGCTTTTGACTCTGGCGGGCGTAGATGCGACCTTCGGAGCGCATTCGGTTAGGGGCGCCGCTGCTTCCGGAGCCTTTATGGCGGGCGCTTCCCTTCAGGACATTTTGCGTTCGGCGGACTGGTCCCGTGAAGAGACTTTTCGCCAATTCTACTTTAGACCGTCGAACCATGCTTCTTTTGCTTTGCTGTCGGAGCGTTAAAACAGCAAATATGAAGCCTCCTGTCATGCTATAAAATTGTAGATTATACTAGCTTTAGTGTAACTATAATCTTAATTTTATTAATGACAGGAGGCGAATATTTCCCACCCAGTTTTGTTTTCTCCCCCCCTTGTTTGGATGGAGTACTTTCTATTGTGTTTCTGTTGACTTCTGGTAACCTGGGCTAGATTTGGTGGTCTAGGGTTATGTATGGGGAAGTTGGGGGAGGTGGCTGGTATATTGTACTACTGGTGATTGGTTATGGATTTCATGTATTTTATACTGTCAGTACTGGATCGTGGGATTTATGTTTATCAGTACATTTCGTTCACTAATCAGTGTTTTTTGACTCTGTTTATTTCGTTTCAGTTTAATGGTTGGACTACAGTTCAAGGAATCAACGGCTTTGCAGGATGAAGCTCAAGAGAACTTCCATTCTCCGAAATGTCTTCAGGATGTTATTCCTTGTTATGTTATATATTTTTTCATTTAATTGGTTTACTGGCATTGTTGTGTACGTTGTGTTGTCGCAGCGTGAAAGAGGAAATGGTGGCTTAGGAGGAGCTTTATATAGATGCCTTATGTTTTGTCTTTGGTGTTTATCTCTCTATGTTAATGTGCTGCTGTGGAGTTATAGTAAAGAGAGACTTAAGCAAATATTTGCCTCCTGTCATTAATAAAATTAAGATTATAGTTACACTAAAGCTAGTATAATTTACAATTCATACACATCAATGCAGACTAGGTATGTATTCTGATATATTCAGTGAAGGTTTATGTGTTTAATAACTAACCTTATCCAGGACAATAAATCTATGGATGCATTTAGTACTGAGAGGAACTATTTTCGGACACAATTTCACACGAACACCGCTGGGACTATCCAACCTCCACCTCATTAGTTTCTATTTGCACGAACATCATGCCGTTCGGTACATTCAATGCACGAATGAGACCGACCCCAGGTAACTAAATCCATGGAGCTAATTTTGGACATAATTTTAATGAACAGTCGGTGAACAGACTCTTTAGCTCCATGGCGATTGGACTGTGTTGGTGGTATCTGAGCGCTGTTCGACTATATTGAGCGCTCAGACCCAAGCTATCTGGGGATATGTCGAATGTGGGGGGTTCCGTTCTGGAAAATATGAGTTATTGATTTTAATACATTTTTGTTACTGTATAAAATGGAAACATTTTCTCTACCTAGAGATAAATAAGTTTACTCGGGCCACTTAACCCAATTATCTCCAGGATAGAGAGGAATGATTTCAATGTTTATGGGAGAGTGTTTTATGTTGAACTGTATGATGATTGGCTACTGTATGTTGTGTCACAGTCTTCCACAAGGTCCCTGTGGAGGACCTGCATAAAAGGCCGAGCTGTGGCCATCAATAAACAGATCGTTTTACCCCTTCATGAAGTCTTGGCTCATGTTTGGGGGATTGGGAGCTATAAATCACCTTCTGCTTTACTTGGATTTCGGGAGGCGCTGCACAGATATACTCAGCAGGAGTGTAAGATATCCGTAACACTAGCAAAATTATATTTGTTTTCGGGGCTTAAAGCCATAAGGAGATCATGATTAGAAGTATGTATACAGTATATAGTATACAAAAAATATGAAAAGCTCGGTTGTGGTGTGCCGGAACCGACAATGCAGTAGGCCTGTAATAAAAGAGGGCAAAAAGTAAATATACCATTTAAGATTTATTCAATCTACAATCATAATACTCTTGATTACGAAAGGGTTGACGTATTTCCTGGTCAGGTTGTGGTATGTATCTAGAGTATGCTGAGGATGTAAGTGTTGTCCCATGCAAGGATAGAAGAGGTAGAGCAGAGGGATTGTGAAAGGAGTGAAGATATGTTCCTAAGACTTTAACTGGGCACCACATATTGCCAGTAGGGTAGTAAGGGACGTTTACCTTGTGACACATTTGGCTGGTCTTTGTGTAGTTTTGTGTTAGAACGTAATGATCCTGTAGTTTTGTTGGGTGAGACCTTTTGAGGTAGTCTGCAAAAGTGACATTTATGACAGTGAATTCTCTGAGTCTAAGAAACCCATAGAAGGCCAGATAGATTGACGTTTTAATTACATGGTTCGTGTGTGGTTCAAAAGGTGCAGTGTCAATGAGGCTGGAGAGTGATTTAAACATTTGACTATGAATAGGTAATCTAGTAGGTGATTTCTGTATGCCTTTAAGAATAGATTTCATTTGGTAGAATGACAAGAAGCTGTTATTGTTGGGCCATTGGGTGAGTATGTGGTGTTGAA